CCCAATGCCCCTGACTCACTGACCTCCCAACCCCCCAGCACTGCCCTGACTCACTGACCCCCCAATCCCCCAGCACCACCCTGACTCACTTCCCCCGATCCCCCAACTCACTGACCTCTAAAACCCCCAATACCCCTGAAACATTGACTCTCCCCCACAGTCCCCTCATATTGCCCTGGCTCACTGAGCCCCACCCACACCTCTGATCCCCTCAGACCCCTCCAGTCCCCCAAGGCTCACTGACACCCCCCCCAATTCCTCCATACCACCCAGGTTCACTAACCCCCCAGTCCTCTGATCCCCTTTCACGGATCCATGGGATCAGTGCTATGCCCCCGGCTTTTGAACAGTCTGGTGGAGGAACCCTTTAGATGTGCCAGACCCCCCAAAGGTCTCACTCTTCCTTGAGGGGAGGTCACACAGTCTCAGAGCCTCCTGAGACTGACCCTCTGGGCCTTCAGCACCCCTGCTTCACCCTGTGAGCTCTGCTCAGTGAGTCCGACTGACAGACTCCTGGTGGAGACTTGTGCACTTGTCAGGGACTCATGCACCTCAGCCAGCATTTGCAGTGATGCTCACGCAGTGTTGTCAAAACAGTGGGGTTTATTAGTCAGCTGGAACGCAGCATAGGAAGTGCTTAGGTTAGCACAGTGCACTGAAGGTTAAAACAAAGTCCTCTCTGGACAGCCCCGAGCAATTCACCAGCCGAGCTGTATTGAGCTCCGTTTTCAGGCTCTGGGTCTCTCTCTGACTTCCTTAGTCAGTTCCCAGGTGAGAGAGCCCCCAGCTTCCTCCATAACCTACATCTCCCGCCTTTCCAGCCTTTGTTCTCAAGCTGCTCAGCTTCCCTGCTGAGAGGCGGGGAAATCTTCGTCTGGGTGGTTTGTTGCTAGGTGTCAGTGGCCCGGTGTTTGGGCTTTTCAGCATCTTCTTGGGTTTTCCAGTGATATGGGTCAGCCTAGGCCAGTCCTTTTTCAGACTCACTCAGACAGCTCGGCAACACATACACACCCATGTCTGTTAGCTGCCCTGAGAGCAAACTTAATCCTTTCCCTCCACTCCCCACTGGGTAGCAATGCAAAGTCTAAGGGAAACTGAGGCACACACACAGACTTCATAAAAATATTACCAAAAGTTCCCACTTTGTCACAAAGGAAATTATCTGGGGGCCGCAACCCCCTGCTCTGGGATGTGTCACCTTTTCCTGAGGTTCCCTCCACACCAGCCCCATGGGGCTGCCCTTCTTACCCGCATTTCCCCAGCACACCCCTTACCTCCACCCTAGTCTGCAGCTGCTTCCTCCACCCCCACCCCCCACGCATATCAATCTTGCTGGGGCTTCAGAGAAACAAGAGGGAGGAGCGTGGCCAAGTGTGGTGTCAGCACCTTCCCGGCCAATACTGAGGACACTGCTGTTTCCTGGGATTGTTGGACTCATCTGCTGGCTGATTTATAGCAGGGCTTGGCTGCAGGACAGCATGGTCTGCCTACCTGCCCCTGAGTGGTGGATGCCTTGGCTGTGATGGCAGAGGCAGGAATGGGCGGAGGAAGGAGAGGCATCGTGGGTGCTCACCTGGAGGACAGTTCAGGGGGTCGCCCCAGGGGGAGAGAAGGGGCTGGTGAAGCTTGCTGCAGGAATGTGAGGACTGGCCAGTTTATTGGCTAGGAACTCTGCCTATGGATGAGCCAGGAGCCAAGGCACAGAGATGGGAGAGCTGGGGTTGGAGAAACCTCTCCCACCCTGTGCCCTTTACCCTTGGGAGTGCGAAGCTGCTGTCCCTTTGCATGGGAGGGGGACTGCATAGGGATCCAGCATGTGTATAGGCCAAGCATAGGGGGAGCTACAGCCACAGGGGACTAGTGTGCCATGGTGTCCACCAGCCCTTACAGGCAAACCTCCTCCTCGTCCCCCCTCCCCTGCACCAGCCACCGGCCAGATCTGACTTGCACGGGAAGGGGCTGCTCTGCACGAGTCACATTGGGGAGCCAGGCCTGCCTCTGCGAGAGAGGAACCTTGGGCCTGTCCTGGGTGCTGCCTCCCCTTCAGCTGTGCAGGTGCCACCCTGCACCAGCGCTTGGGCGGCTCCGCACCCCAGAGCTGGCCCGGCGACTCGAGCGTGGGAGCTTGCGGCAGTTCCCGCTTCGCCAGCGGTTCCAGCCAACATAATGAAATGGGCCGAAGCCAGAAGCAGCACGCCAGGGCTAAACAGTCTGGGCACTGCGGCCATGGTGAAGAGGGGTGAGGGGTGGCATTGGGGACAGCTAGCCAAGGGGAGGTTGCCAAGCCAAACAGTAGCAAAGGTGGAGGAACTTGTGTGAGAGCGCGAGAAACCCAGTTCAGGTTCTTCCCCTCCCTGCAAGGGGCTGCTCCCACAATCCACTTGAGGGCGTGTTGGGAGTGTTGCTCCCAGGGCTCTCTCTGGAAACAATAAGTTTGTCTATCTGCTTATCCTGTTCCCTTGTGTTTGTGGAGCTGGCTGGCTGGCGAAAGGGCACGTGCGAGCATGGAACGCAGAGGCCATGCTAAGGGAGAGGGAGGGCCAAAGAGAACAGCGTAGGGGTGCAGGACAGCAAAAACCACTCAGCCGGACCTAGGTAGGGAGATATACCCTAGAAAAGGGCAAGAGAAAGCCAGCTCCAGTGGGAGGGGGAAGAGCGCTAGGGAGCGACAGGAGCAAATCAGCAGTGACCCGGCTGGGGCCAGCCGAGCCTCCTTCCCTCGACCCACCGGGGGATGCTGAGTCGGGGTATTATTTATCATTACATTAAGACTGGAAGACAGGAGGAGCCAGACCTTGGAAACCAGCACCACTTGCTACAGCACAGTCCCTGGCCAAAGCAAACCTGCGCTTCAGCTGGGGGCTGTTGCGTGATGGTCACAGGTGGGAGAAGCGTGGAGGCCTCAGCCAGTCAGCGGTGGGGAAGGGGTCTTTTCCTCCGTCCTGTTGGTTGGATCCCGCTCGTTCTCTGCCCTTCCCCCACTCCTTCCTCCCCCCGCCCTCCCCTTTGGCTCTTGGCTTTCCTTTCTGGGTTATTGAATATGCAAGTGTCTCTCGCTGACACCATCTCTGATCCCTTAATCCAGCTGCCCTGGTAATTCCGCAGCCCCAAATCAGCTCAGATCTCTCCACAGACGTAAGCCTCCTTCTTCAAGGGCTTGCTTTTCTTCCCTGCTCCCCTCCACCCCCACCCCACCCTGCCGCTTCTTCATCCTATTTCTGCCCTTCGGGTCTCTGCATTGGAAATTGGTTGGGGTTTAGCAGCAGAGGGTTTAGCAATATCTTTAGTGAGTGTCCCTGGAAAAAAAAAGAAGAATGAAGAGAGAATCCTTAATCTCAAATAACTAAGATGCATTTTTTTCTCTTATTTCTTCCTGCTCCCCCCACCCATGCCCCAGTTGGAGAATGGGAATGTCTCCTTAGCCCTCAGCAGAGGGAACTCAGCCAAGGCTGGGGATGCACTGACAGCATAGTGGGAGAGGGGGTCAGTGTGAGAATGGGGATGTGTCAGCAGGGGGTGCTCCTGCGTGGAACGGAGAAGGGTAGATCAGGCCAGAGAAGGGAGACTGCAAATGGCTCCTTGGCACTAGTGGGGGATCTCTCACCCGAGTGGGGTGTGTTGGCAGCCCCTGGGAAGAGGGGACTCTAGGATGGAGCAGAGAGGATGTTGGTTTGGTGTCAGTATGGGGTGCTATTCTCCAGGTCAGGATGAGTCTCGGAGCCTGAGAGTGGGGGCGGACAGCAATGTTTCCCTGCTACCAGCAGGGGGTGCTCTCCCACGCTGGGGTAAAGCAGCTAATGATCCTTTCCCCTCATCCTGATGAAGCTGGTTGGATTCTTTAACCAGCCTGGGCAGGAAATAGTTTGGTCTCCCATCCTGGCAGTAGGCACCACAAGAGCACAAATAAATAAAATTAATAATACAGCACATGCTGCCCACGTCAACCGGGTGCAGCTTCTGTATACCTGTCCCATACCAAGTACAGGAGCCAACCGTTGCTGGAGGGCTCTGCCTGACAGCCCCCATCCGCCCTGTGCCAAAACACCCCTCTGCTCCGGCATGGGTGTCCGGCGCTCACAATCCCCTCTCCCCCGGGTCCAGACGTCCCTCTCTGAGCCCTGCTCGCGAAGGCCGCGTTGTGCCCAACCCTCGCCTGCACCGAGACGAGGGAATTATTTTCGGAACGAGAGCGGTTATACAACCAATGAATTATTTATCATTTTGCATCAAGGAAAAAACCCCATTTAGTTGGGATTCTTATTTATTTATCGTCGGCATGCGCGCGTTTGTGTACGGCGCGCTTTCCGTTCTCTACACCGGCAACAAACTCCTTGGGGCTGGGTTGGCTTGGGTTGTGTTTTCTTTATGCTCTGGAGTTTTAAGCCGATCATAACACAGCCGTGTCCCTCCCTCTGTTCCATTCTCTTCCCCCCCCCCCCGCAACCAGGCTGTGATTCCATTACATAACGAAACCCAAGTACCCTTCTGGCTATCACTGATACAAGATTATGTTGCAAGGGATCCCTTTGCCAAGGCTTATCAGCATAGCAGGCAATACCGCCTCCCCCCACCCACAACGCTCTCTTTTCTGCTCCTCCCTGTCCCCAAGAAACTAACAGCCCTAGCTGTCTTTTTCCGTATTTCAAAGCCCCCCTGATTGATGCCTCCTCTTGTCTCTCGTGTGTTTCCTTTCCAGATTCCGGTGACAGATGGATCGCTCGCTCGCTCGCTCTCTAGCTCTCTATATTTTTGTTTTCAAGATGTTTGATCTGAAGTTCTGAAGCATCTCGGAGGGGACCCAGGATAGGGGGAGGAGGAGCAACCCCGGGAGCCCAGCGACCGAAGTGGCAGCTCCTCCAAGTCACCTTGTGGTCGTGGGGGAAGGCGGGGAGGGTGTGTGTGTGTGGGGGGGTGTCGTTCCTGAGCCTCCAAGAAGATCTGTTGTTTAATTTTTGTTTTGTTTTAAAGAGAAGCACAGATTTCCGCTCCCCCCTCTTTTTCCTGGATTGGGAGCGGCAGGAAGGAGTGGATTTTGCCCCCTGTTGCTCTACACCCCAGGGTTGGCACGGAGGGAAAGAAAAATGTTGGTGACGGCACCGGATAGAACTGAGGTGCCTGTGCCCTCCTATTGCTAACCAGCAAGGGAGCGTCGCCTCTCATCCCCTCCCTTTGCTCTTCGGAGGCTTGTTTCTTTTTTGCCCGTGGGGGAGGGGGGGCGCCGCATCTGAACATGCTGTGTCTGGGCTTGTGGGCGGCCGCCCTGCTCTGTGTGTTCTCCCCTGGCACGGTGCATGGCGACTGCTGGCTGATCGAGGGGGACAAGGGTTACGTATGGCTGGCCATCTGCAGCCAGAACCAGCCTCCCTACGAGACCATCCCCCAGCACATCAACAGCACAGTGCATGACCTGCGCCTGAATGAGAACAAACTCAAGGTGGTGCTGTACTCCTCCCTCAACCGCTTCAGCAACCTCACCGACCTGAACCTGACCAAGAATGAGATCTCCTACATTGAGGACGGGGCCTTCATGGGCCAGGCCAACCTACAGGTCCTGCAGCTGGGCTACAACAAGCTCACCAACCTGACGGAGGGCATGCTGCGCGGCATGGCCAGGCTGCAGTTCCTCTTCGTGCAGCACAACCTGATTGAGGTGGTCACACCCACCGCCTTCTCTGAGTGCCCCAGCCTGATCAGCATCGACCTGTCCTCCAACCGGCTCAGCAGGCTGGAGGGGAACACCTTCACCAGCCTGAGCAACCTGATGGTGTGCGAGCTAGCTGGCAACCCCTTCAACTGCGACTGCAGCCTCTACAGCTTCCTCACCTGGCTGGTGGTCTTCAACAACGTCACCAAGAACTACGACCGGCTGCAGTGTGAGACCCCCCGGGAGTTCGCCGGCTACCCGCTCCTGATGCCTCGACCCCACCACAACCGCAACGCCATCACCATCTTCCAGTCCATGTGCCGGGGAGGCACCATCCCATCCCTCTCAAGGATCAACCCCACCCCCTACACGCCTGACTCCCAGAGAGACCTGGATGAGAACTCGGGGTTCAACCCCGGGGACTTCCTCTCCGTTGAGCCCCCGGCCTCCTCCACCACTGACTCCTCATTCAACCCCAGCATCAAGCTGCACCACGTGACCATCACCTCAGCCACCTTGGTGGTGACGATCCCCTCACCCTTCAGCAAGATGTACGTGCTGGTCCAGTACAACAACAGCTACGTCTCTGATGTCACGACCCTGAAGAACAAGAAGGAGTATGTCACCCTTAGCAAGCTGAAGGCCCACACGGACTACACCTTCTGTGTGGCCTCCATCCGCAACTCCAAGCGCTACAACCACACCTGCCTGTCCTTTGCCACCAGGAGCAAGGGAAGGGAGGATCCAGTGCCCAATACCTCCACCACCACTCACTACATCATGACCATCCTGGGCTGCCTCTTCGGGATGGTCATCGTCCTGGGGGTGGTGTACTACTGTCTGAGGAAGCGAAGGATGCAGGAAGAGAAGCAGAAGTCCCTCAATGTCAAGAAGACCATCCTGGAGATGCGCTACGGCTCGGATATAGACACCAGCTCTATCGTCCACTCTTCGCAGAAGCTGGGCGAGCCGCCCGTCATCCCTGTCTCACGGATGTCCTCCATCCCTTCCATGATCGGGGAGAAGCTGCCCCCATCCAAGTCAATGGAGGCTGGGATGGAGACCCCCAAAGTTACTACCAAGGGCAACTACATTGAGGTGCGGACGGGTGGCGGGGATGCCCTGGAGAGAGCCCAGCGGGATGACGATCTGCGTGAGCTTGACAACGGCCAAGGCTCGGCAGCTGAGATCTCCACCATCGCCAAGGAGGTAGACAAGGTCAACCAGATCATCAACAACTGTATCGACGCCCTCAAGTTGGACACGGCCTCCTTCCTGGGAGGAGGGAGTGGCGTCGACTCAGACATGGCGTTTGAGTGCCAATCCATCCCTGCCGGCTCCTCGGGTGGGCTGGAGCGGCCTGGCTTCCTGTCGCCACCGTACAAGGAGAGCTCCCATCACCCCCTGCAGCGCCAGCTGAGCGCGGACGCAGCTGTGGCCAGGAAGACCTGCAGCGTCTCATCCAGCGGCTCCATCAAGAGTGCCAAGGTCTTCAGCCTTGACGTGCCAGACCACCCGCCAATGAGCAAGTCGGATTCCAAGTACATCGAGAAAGGCAGCCCACTCAACAGCCCCCTGGATCGTCTTCCTCTGGTGTCCCCGGGTGCCATCCACCACCTGGAGGTCAAACCTTCCTACCATTGCAGCGAGCACCGACATTCCTTCCCGGCCCTGTACTACGAGGAGAGCGCTGACACTCTGAGCCAGCGGGTGTCGTTCCTTAAGCCGCTCTCCCGCTCCAAGCGGGACTCCACGTACTCCCAGCTCTCCCCCAGACACTACTTCTCGGGCTACTCCTCCAGCCCCGAGTACTCATCTGAGAGCACCCACAAGATCTGGGAGCGCTTCCGGCCTTACAAGAAGCACCACCGGGAGGAGGTTTACATGGCGGCTGGCCACGCCCTGCGGAAGAAAGTCCAGTTTGCCAAGGACGAGGATCTGCACGACATCCTGGATTACTGGAAAGGCGTCTCCGCTCAGCAGAAGTTGTGACTGTCTCTTTAAAAGGAAAGAAAAAAACCCAACAACCACCAACAAAAGAACCACTTGACTGTGAACAAAAACCGAACAGCCCCCTCCCCTATGACAAAAATGAACCAAGAACCGTTTCTTACAAAGTTTACAAAAAAAAAAAAAGCAAGAAAGCAAGAAAGCAAACAAAAAACAAACTCCCGCAATGAATTGTCTCTCCTGTGTTATGGGGACCACTGTTCCTCCTGCAGCTGGTTGGGAGGAGCCGCCTGCTTTGACACTGTGGTAATGATGCTGATGGGCTAGCGGGAGGGAAGGACAAAGAGGGGGTTAGGCATGGGCGGGGGGCAGAGAAGGATGCTAACCAGGCCTAGACTAAACCACTAACCATCGCTTTTATGTTCCTGTTGTTATTTTGTTCCAGATTGTGGGGGTTTTTAAGGATGGGGGTGGGGCTTCTGCGTACTCCCTTGGGGGGCAGCCCCCACCAAGAGAAAATGGGGGATGTCACCAAACAAAGAGCCCCTCCCTGGCATTTTAAGGGTTTGGGGGTCTTCAAGGCTTTCTCCCACCTCCCCAAGACTCATGGGGGTTGTACAGACTCTAGCATGTAACTGGAGGCTCTCTCTCCTTTTCCTCCACCTCCGACTCCATTAGGGTTCCCTGAGCTTGGGGTTTGGGTCTCCTGGCTCGTGGCCACATCAGCTTCCCTCATTCACTGAGGAAGGGGAGGTAGGGCAAACAGCACAGGGCTCTCCCCGCCTCCGGTGCATTTCAGAAGAGAGGTCACCGGCTTTCTAAGGCCCTGGGAAGCCCCCACCCCCAGCCCCAGCTGAACAGTCCAGTTGTCTTCCAGGAAATGGTGGGGAGCATGTTCTCTGGCATGGCAAAATGGGGTTCGCTAATGGCAGGGCGATGGGGAAGTGGGGAAGAAGACGGGAATTCCCAACTGTGCTGAGATCTGAAGGGTTCCCCCTCTCACCCCCACCCCAGAGCTGGGGAGGGGCACGCATCTCCCACCTCCTTCATTTGTGCTGCAGGTTCTGCACCCCCCCTTGTGCTTCGGGGTGGGGGTGGGGGATCAGACCCTTGAGGAGGGCCTCAGGGAGGAATAACAATCACAGGATGCTCCTATGCCTCCTCCCACCCAGCTAGATCAGAGCAGGGCCCCCTCTCCCTGGGGGGTGGGGGGAGAATGAGTGGATGTATAAAAAGGCTGGATCTGGAGAGGACAGTGTGTGGGACCTGGATTCCACACAAATGGGGCACATGCACCTCCCACGGATAGGCGAGAGCTTTGAGAAGAGGGGGTAAAATATGGGAGGGAGGGAGAGAGAGTGGGTAATGGCCAGGGGAAAGGAGGTACAGCCCAGGAGATTGGTTTCAGGGCAAGGGGTGGGGAAGGGGTGCAGCCTTGGGGGATGATTTCCTGGGCCCTCCCTTTGTGGGCTCTGCCATGGAGGTGGTGTTGGGATGGGAGAGTTATCAGCTCCTGGGCTGAGCTCTCTCGCTGCCCTCTGCAAAACTCCAACAGGCCTCCTCCTCCTCCGTATTGGGCTGGTCCTCTGTGCCACTCGCCACAGTGCCCACCCCTCAGAGGGAATCCTCAATGTGCCTGCAAACCCCACATGCCCCGTCCGCTCTCCTCCCTGCACTGCTCCCTGGGGCTTGGGCCCTAGCTCCCCGCCAACTGGGGAGAGGCGGGGGCGGGGGCTACAGCCCACTGCCCTCCCATCCCCCTGTCTCTGAACAAACTAACAAAGCACAATCTTTGGTACCCACCAAATCCCCGGCCGTGTGCATTGTGGGGGAGCCTGCTTGTGGGGAGGGGGTTGTTTCAAGTGCAACTGGCTGCCCCTCTCCCCAACCTTTGACAATCTTTCCCCTTTCTCAGATGGGAGCAAGGCAGAGGCCAAGGTCTCCCCTCCCTCCCGTCCAACGCTGTCTGAGCTTGTCTCTCCAGGGGGAGGCCGCATTGCGGCTGGCTCCAGCCTCTGCCCCCAGGCCACACACAGAGCCTGGGAGGGGGGCGTTCCCCCCGAGGAACTGCTCAGAGCCTAGGGGATGGTCAGAGGCTCTGGCTATGTTGCAGGGTTGGGGCCAGGGGAGACAAGGGTACAGGGCATGGGTATCTCTCCACAGGAGCCACTGGGCACAGGTACCAGTATCTGTCAGACAGCTTGGATCCTATTAATAGGAGCTAGTTAGTATAAACAGATTCTCATATGCGGTGTTGTTGTAGCCCTGTCGGTCCCGGGATATGAGAGAGACAAGGTGGGTGAGGTAATAGCTTTAATTGGACCAACTTCTGTTGGTGAGAGAGACAAGCTTTCCAGCCATCGACCTCACCCACCTAGTCTGTCAAACAGATTCTCGGCTATTAGTGGGCAACAGCACCATCCAGTGGCTGGTGTGGTAAATCCCAGGGGATTATTTCCTGTGGAGATTGCAAAGTGTATTCCCTATGGAGCGCCTAGGGAAGGGATCCTAGGGGTATAATCCCAGAGAAGGTCCTAGGGAAGGGATCTTGGGGCATCGTCCCTATGACGATTCCAATGTTAAATACCCAAATGCAACCCCAGGCTCATGTTTCCTCAGACCCCTTTGCTTGTCAGCATGCATCATGGGCTATTTTGCCAAGCGTTGACCCCAGCCGTAACTCAGCCCCTCTGCCCCCTGAGCTTGAGTAGTGAGGGGAAAGGTGCATGGGGATCTGGGGTTCAGAACAACTCCAGGGGGCTCATGAAACAAGGGAGCCTGCAGATGAAGGGAAGGGGTTAGACGATGCTGACTCCCATCTTTTTAGGAAAGGGCGAGAATCTGCTGGGGGGTTGGCGGGGGACCAAGTCCTGTGAATTCCCTGTCCTGTTATCTTTCTCTCCCCTCTGCTTTTCCTCAACGGTACTGCCAGTGCCTGGGAAGTCCCATAAGCTATTCCATGTGGCCACATGGTGTGGGGTGAGCTGGGGGGGCTATACTTTGCCAGGATCTCAGCTCCCATTCCATCCCCAAGGGAAGGAAAGGAGATGGAGAATAAGGGGGGTGGGTGAAGGGGTGGGGGGCTGCTGCTGGTCTCCTGGAAGGAGAAACTCCTCCTGTTGCCTGGGGTGGGGTTGGGGGTGGGTTCCAAGGGGTGTGCAACCCAAGCTCCTTCCGCCCCACAGTGACCCCCAGCCTTGGGGTGGGGGAGGAAAGGTTTGCACAAGAGGACTGTTCTGAGGGGATGGGAGGGGGAACAGCCCACCCCTCCTCCCCGCCGCTGGCTGGCGAATGGGAAGGACAGCCAGCAAAGTACACACACACCATGGCTGAAACGAGCAGATCTAACCTTATCTTTGCATGATGATTTGACTGTATTTTTCTGAGCAAACACCTGTTGTGTATGTGCCAGTTCGTTGAGATTTAATCCCTTCCCTCTCCTTGGTCCCTCCCCTCCCCACCCTCACCCCGTTGTGATTGGACGAGAGACTTAAGATCTTTGGAGGGAGCGGACGCCAGAGAGAACCCAAGCCGGGTGCCCCAGCTGAACGATGCCCCAGCCCTTCACTCTGCACCTATCCAGCCACCTCATCCCATCCCCTGCAAGTTTCTTAGCTCCTGGTTAGGGTAGTGGCTACATCACGGTCAGGTGTGATGGGCCTGGCCCTGCAGCCCTTGCTCACTCTTGTGGTCATTAGCCCCTCCTCCGGCCCCCACGGTTGTCAATAGAGCCACTTGCATGAGCAAGGCCCCCAGCATCTGCTCCAGCCTGAACCCACGAGTGAGGCCTGTCAGTGGAGAGGCAGAGCCTTGGTTTGGGGTGACATGGAGTGCCCCAGCTTGGAGGACCCCTCTGATGTCTTCAGGGCTGATCTCTGAAGTCAATGGAAAGACTCCTGCTGATTCGAGTGGGCTTTGGGGCTGACCCTTTCCATCCCCCCCCTCAGATAGCTGGCAGGGCGGAGCTTGGCCAGGGGGCACTGTGTGGTGGAACTGCTAATGCCTTTGGGATGGAGGGGTGTGTTAAGGGGGCCGCCCTGAGTCTCCTGCTCTGTCTGCAGTTCCTGGACCTCCCACTGCCAGGCTGTGAAACCACTCAGAGGAAAGGGTTTCCTTGGGGCAGACTCAGAGCCTGAAGCTTATGGCTAGTTTCTTGCTTTGTTTCTGTGCTGGTGGAGAGAACCCAGGATTCATGGCAGGGAGGACAGGAATCTTTGCTCAATTGGAAGGAGCAGAGCTGGATTCCTGGGATGGACACTGGGTGCAGCCCCCCCCCCCCTCGGGAGAAGGGGAAGAACTGGATTCCTGTGCCCCTGGGATGGACTCTTAACCCTAAGTGGATTGCTGTTCCCCTTGCAAGAGATGCTAGGTTCAGCCCCCGCTTGTGCTGTATTGTTCACTCTTCGCTGCCCTGCGTCCTATGTCGTACCATTCCTCCCGAGGCAGGTGTGAAATATTCATGAACAACAAATGAAAATTAATGTCAAGAAATGCTAGCTGAGGCGGTGTCCATGTGTTTGCAATGCTAATCAGCGCCCCTGCCCGCCAGAGTCTCTCTGAGGCAGCTCACAAGGAGAAGGGGCGCAGGGGAGCGGGGGTGGGCAGCAGAAAGCAAGAGGAGGGATGGGTGGGAGGGATCAGAGAGAGGAGCGAGGGATGAGACAAGACAGAAGGGAGGGAAAGAGAGATGAGAGGGGAAGGTGGCAGAGTGGGAGGTGGGGGAGTTGGAGCAATGGAGGGGAGGTGGAAGAGGAAGACGGGACAATGGAAAGGAGAGAAAAGGGTGGGGATGCTGGAGAGGAGGAAGTGGGTGGGGGCAAGGAAGAAGGGTGAGGTTGACAGAGAGGAGGAGGAGTTGGGGTGATGGAGGGGAAGGGGTGACAGTATACGAAGGGAGGATAAAGGAGGGATGGCAAAGATGTAGAGATGGGACTAGAGGAGGGGTGTCAGGTGAGGAAGTGACAGGGCTGGGATGGACTGATGGAGAGGAGAGAACAAAGAGGGAAGAGGATGGAGGAGACTGAAGTGACTGAATGGAGGAGCAGATAGGATATCTGAGAGGCAGCAGTGGAGGATGAGGCTGGGTTGATGGGGTGGCTCTGGTCCCTCTCTGTGGGTACTGTACCACTTCCTAGTAGGGCTGGACACAGGCAGCAGCATAGCAGGGAGCTGGCACTTAGAGCAATGGGCCAAGTGGGGATATTCACAGCGCGCATCACTGGAAGGCTAGCCCAATCAAACTATGGCTAGAAGCATATCTTGGAACACTCCTCCTCTGTGGACGCCTCAATTGATGAAGATCCTCCCAGATCCTCCCATCTGGAACCTATCCAGTGCAACACCCCTGCCCCCCCGCCTCAGCCTGGGATGTAGGGAGTTCCCCTGCATAGCTCAGCCTGGGGAATGCTTAGCAAGTCCTGCTACCCAACGGGAGGCACCTTGGGGTGGCCAACCAGTGCCTGGCGCACATGAAGCTGCCCAGATTTGTAGGGCATCCCTTCCTGGCCAATGGCATCCCAAGGAACATGGGAACACATAATTGATAACAGGCTCCTCACTCTAGCACAGGAAGGTGTAACACGATCCAATGGCTGGAAGTGGAAGCTCGACAAATTCAGGCTGGAAATAAGGTGTACATTTTTGACAGTGAGGGTCATTGACCATTAGGACAACTTACCGAGGGTTGTGGTGGATTCTCCATCGCTGGCAATTTTTCAATCAGGATTGGCTGTTTTTCTAAAAAATCTGCTCTAGAAATTAGTCTGGTGAAGTTCTCTGGTCAGTGTTATAAGGAGGGCAGGCTAGATGATCACCGTGGTCACTTCTGGCCTTGGGATCTATGTCTCTCTGAACAAGGCAAGCTACTGGTGGTGGTGGGTGGGTTGTTCTTAACTCATCTCCCCGTGGGGATCTGCTGTGTTGGAGAATCCTGTCCCTTCCCTTCCCTCCCCCAGAGGTTTCTGGCGTTTTACCCCAGGAGGGAAGAGTAGAGGCTGTGACACATTGAAGTCTCTTGTGGCACTGGCCTGTCTCTGTACCTCACCCCCACCAGACCACCTCCCCCCACACAGCCAGGGGCTGTCTCTGTGCTGCTCCCCCCAACCCTCTCTGGGTGGGATGCCTCCATCTCCTCTCCTTTCCCTGGAAGGGATGGATTTCCCTTTGTCCTCTGCTCCCTCCTTCCTCCCATCAGGCCACACCATCATAGGGACACTTAGCCTTTGCCTCCACTTCCCCACCCCACATGAGGCCTTGCTCTCAGGTGACCCCTGCTCTAGAAAGCCCACTTCCTCTGCCCCTGGGCACACTGGGAAGAAGGCTGGTGGTGAGGGGTGGGGTCAGCCCAGCTCTCCCACTCACATGGCTTTGTCACAAGAACAACACCAGAGGGCCAGAGAAGGGCAGAGAGCCAGCGGTTCCCTCTCCAGTGCCCACCCCATGCACCCCTTGAATGTAATTCAGATCCGGAGGCAGCTGCCCGGATTGGTTCCTCGCCACCCGCTCCTGTCCCTCCTCCTGTAACGACCCTGTGACCCTTGGTTGTGTACGAACACATTTTATTTTTATCTTGTTTTTATTTTTATCCCTTCCCCCTTTGTTTTAAACTGAATGGCACGAAATCGTTTTTCCTCAACTCGGAGATTCCTGTATGGAGAAAATCAATTTCTATATTTGCAATAAATTTCTTATTAAAAAAAAAAGCAAACAAAAAACAAACAAAACGAAATGAGCAAGTCTGTGTCTGAGTCTGCTTGTCTCTTGCCGCCCGGGGTGGGATGGAGTTGGGGAGGGGCGCTTCCTGGGATGGGGGAGTGACCATAGGGAAAGTTAGGGTGGGAGTGGGGCATGATGGAAATGAGCTGGGGGAGAGAAAGAGCAAGATGAATGGCTGAATTCGCAGTGGTGCGTAGCCCCCAGCAGATTCCACTGAGAACAAAGGCATGCCCATGTCACCTGCATCTCTGCTCTTGCCCTGCATCTGCTCCGTTTAGCCACTGCCTCTCTCCAAGTCTACCCCATTTCCCTCCTACGTCCCACCTCCTCCCATGTCTTGTTGGCACCATCCTTCACCCTGCATCCTGGTCCTTTCTGTTCCCTCCATCCCACACCCAGTTCACTCCCCACTTCATTGCCCTGCTCCCTGTACCTTTGCACCCCTGGGTTCCAGGTCCCCTCCTGCTGTTTCCATGTCCAATTTCTCCAAGGTCTGTGTGTTCTCCAGGGCTTCTCATACTATTCTTGTGCATGTAGATTCGATTGCACACATCTAATGGCAGCTTTTGAGCAGCCTCTACTTCCTATCTGTATCAGCAAAAGCAAATGAGCCAGCCCTCAGATGTACAGATTTTACAGTCTGGGCTGGGGAGGGAAGGTGGCCCGAACACACTTTCTGCTCCCCCTGATCTCAGGACTGCTGGGGACTGACACCGCTCCCGCCTAACGCAGAGCAGCCTTGGAGATGCTCTAAGTTATGCCTTCTGCAGCCAACCACTACACTGACAGTGTTATGTGTGGTTCTCCACCCCCTTCCTCTCCAGCTATGTTCCTTTCCTGTCCTGACATCACCTTGCAGGGAGTGTGGTACTATGGCAACAGCAGATGTGCCTCACTCAGGGATTCCTCTGTGTCAGAAGGAGTCCCTGGGTGCCCTTCTAGGGTACCTGGCTGGCTGTTGTTCTGAGAATTCAACTCACTACATCTAGAGTACATGTAGAGATACAAAGGAGAGGCCTGGGGAGACCGACTGAGCATGGGAAGGACTGGGAGGACTCGAGGAGGTGAGCATGATCTCATAAGAAAGAGGAGTAGGCCTGGATATAATCAAGGCCCTGTGTACACCATGGAAAGGTGTTACAAGCTCCCTGGATTCTGCATCACTCTGGTGCAGACAAGGGAGCCTGAGGGATCTATAGCTGTTAAACTACACATCTGGGAAAGTTTAATGAATTAAATATAACCATTAACAATCCAGTCAGTACAGTAGCCCCTGGCATTTATTTTGAGATTAGATTTTGTTTATGCTGGCCCCACGTTCTCTGTGTCTGATACAATAGAGATTTTGGTCAGCATGTCACAGG